GAAAATAGTTATTTTTGTACTGTCTATTTTATAAGGAATATATTGAGAAATTCATATCAAATCATTCTCGATAAACTTGTATATCTATTTACTCAATGGCTAAACATTCTTGTGAAGTTGATTTTGAAAACTAAATGTTTAAGAAATAATTTAAAACTATTTTAATTTTAACCTATTTCTAGGAACTGGTGTTTAAATAGGATATTTTGAATAAACTTGTGTTGAGAATTTATTTAGTTTCTCGCAGTATACAGTTAATTGTAATTTTTACAAATTTATTTATTCAATATCAGCGCAAAACCTATCCATGAAAAGAAAAATATAGCAACTCCAATAACGCCTGTGCCTTAAATGTAATTATACCCGTTTAATTAGGTTAAAACGAAGGTTTCATTATAATAAGGTTCATTTGTGTCTCAAAGTTATCATATCAGTATAAGTCTAGTAAGGCTCAGTTATACCTTAATATTATCATATCTGTTTAGGTCTAGTAAGGGTCACAGAGAAGGAAAGAGAGTAGTCATAGGAATGAACCCATTATTAATTGATAAAAATCTTTTGAAAATATGATGACAAAATTGAAAGAACCAAGTCTAGCTGAACAATTGTATGCACTTTTGAATTGACAAATTCAATAGACTTCTTGCTCTAAAATTGTTTACGTTTTTAAACATTAATTATCAAACAATAGCTAATGTGTTTAAAAACGTATATATGTTTTACATAAATATGGTAGATACAACTTTATTTGTTATTTTAAAAAGAAATGGGAAGTTAAAAAATGTATTGCTGTTCAAGTGTGATAAATATGATAACTAGACGTTTTTGCGAAGTACATACTGTACTAAAGAAGAACGAATTCCGGTGAAATATTCTGTTACATGATAGTGCAAGGGTGAACTTTGGTGAAACGTTCTGTAAGTACACTCGGCACCTAAGGGGTAAACTCCAGTGAAACAGTGGGTGCTATTTAATATGTTTATCACAGTTTCCCAGTTTTACTTGGGATAAAAGTTTTAATTACAGTGTAGAATGCCTTTAAGTATTAAAAATAATAGTAATATTAATTATAACATTTAAGATTTAACCCCAGTGTAATGTGTATGGTTTAATTTGATATTACTAAATTTTTAAACTAGTATGTTCACATTAAAAGCTTATATAATTCGTAATAAGCTTTAAGTCAATGTAATACCTCTTAAGACGTAACTCAGTTCCCACGGCCCAAGTTTAGTAGCTTTCCAAATGTTATCTGCTTGTGAACTGGAAGTAGAATGGAATCTTGTTAGATACAACTGAAACAGTTTTCATATTCTAGTGAAGGTTATGTTGCAGTTTTGTGTAAGTTATCAAAATATCCTTTTTGTAGAGTACATGAAAATTTGTGTTATATCTCACATTGGACGGGTCAAATGTTCCGGGTTCTGTATGGGATAAGTGTTTATATAAAAAACAAAAAGAAGGGAGGGGCCGACAAAAACGTGTATTTTAAGAGAGTTTGTTTAGGGCAAATCTACACAAAGAGTTATCTGTACTTTGTCCGCCAGATGAATCAAATTCCGAATTATAACGTTATACGTTAAGAACTTTCACCTGGTTTTCAAAAGACGAAAGTGAAAATCGGTCGCGTCAGTATTTTATGTTTAAAATATATTTCTTTGTGTATCGTTAATTAACCCTCACCCTATACAGCGGATTATTACTAAATAACGGGGTTTTTCTATCATATTTAGATACAGACAAATCATTTGCTTACGAAATTCTGTCCTCTCTCTTTGAATCTTGAAAGTGAGTATTTTTATTACAGTGAGTCACCCAACTTCATATAAAACAACGTGGTGTATTTTATTTTAATTAAGAACAATAATAATTTAATACATATCAAAGAAGTGTGCCGTAACTAGACTTTAATAAACAAGATATTTCATTTTTAAATGATAAAAATAGGTAAACAACAAGAGGGATAAGGGAAATTTCCAAATGTTTTCCCAGTAACTGGAGAAATGATGTTTGATTAAACTAAAACATTTGCACATCTAATCCTTATTACATAGATTCAAAGTTCCAACTACATTACTTTCTGTGTCTTAGCTGTGAACTTGAGTCCTACGTCAAAGAAAGTTTCTTTAACGTGAATAATACGACTCAATGTGCAGAACTGTGTTTTCATAAATAGAAACTACATGCTTTAAACGTATTTTTTTTATTCTGCAGTAAAAAATATTCACATAACAGCGAAGATCACGTGATCATGAGATGAACAATGTTTAAAACTCTCAAATATACGTAAAGAATGTTTATAATTTTCAGTTCATGGCTTAAACTCATTCTACTAAAACTGTAAAGGTCTAACATATTGATTTTAAAAAAAAAAGCTGGTATATTGTTTCGTTATGAGGGTTGAATTGTGTTAGTCAAATTGTGTTCATACGCCAAATAGTTAAAGTGTGCCCAAATAGAGCTCTATTTGTTAACCTATTAGTCCCTTAATCCATTTATATAAAACCGTTTTACAATTTTAATTCAGATGTGACATAGTTGTAGAAATTGATCTCTAATAAAATCATCGTTTGAACAACAAATAAAATCTTTGTCACTTCTACGTTACATGAAAATGATTAACTGTCATGTGAGTTCTGTATATATATTATAACCTTCGTCACTTCCACATCAGTGATATGGATTAACCGTCTCTCTTACGTGTGTTTTCTGTACAACTTATCAATCAGTTTAATAACTTCCACATTAGTGAAGTGGATTAACCATTTCCCTCACGTGTGTTTTCTGTACAACTTATCAATCTGTTTAATAACTTCCACATTAGTGAAATGGATTAACCATTTCCATCACGTGTGTGTTCTGTACAACTTATCAATCAGCTTAATAACTTCCACATTAGTGAAATGGGTTAACCATTTCCCTCACGTGTGGTCTGTACAACTTATCAATCTGTTTAATAACTTCCACATTAGTGAAATGGGTTAACCGTCTCTCTTACGTGTGTTCTGTACAACTTATCAATCTGTTTAATAACTTCCACATTAGTGAAATGGGTTAACCGTCTCTCTTACGTGTGTTCTGTACAACTTATCAATCTGTTTAATAACTTCCACATTAGTGAAATGGGTTAACTGTCTCTCTTACGTGTGTTCTGTACAACTTATCAGCTTAGTCGTTCCTACATACGTGAAATGGATTAATTTTCTCTCTAGATGACTATTCTGTCTAAATTTTCAGGGTAGCCACTTTGTTTCTTTTATTTGTACATGTTCTGGCCAAATTATATAATGATCCAGTCACTTCTCAATAAGTCTAATGAAGTGGAGTAACTGTTTTTCTTAAGCATGTTTGGGTTCGTTGCAAATTAGATAATGGCTTAGCCTTAGTCACTTCCACGTTGCCTATAATAAAAAGTATTAACTGTTTCTCTTAAAACTAGATTTTTTTTTTAATGTATCATAATTTTGGGTTTCGCACGTGTACACTCTAACGTTAATAAGAAGAATATTTTACTTCAGAATCGAAAATAGTTAAATGTAAGACATAGCTCACTCTATTTAATAGTTAAACGTAAGACATAACTCACTCCATTTGACAGTTGCAGTTGTACTAGGTGAGCTGAATACCACCTACTGCATAATATTTAAACGTCTGCTTATCATATCCAATACACGTATATAAAATACACAGTTTAAAGGGTTCAATTAAATACGAAAGAAATATTACATCGATATGAACCACAATGTTTCAATTATTACACGCATTTTAAATCCACCACTCCATAAAAAACTATTCCAAAGGTTGGGCCTAAACTTAGTGCAAACACTACGATTATATTTGAAAGAAATGTATCGAATATTGTCTACTTGATGTTCTGAGTGTGCTATATAATGAAACTCATTACGTGTAGAAGGCAACGGTTACAGTTATTTATTACACTAGAATACAAACAAGACTGTCTAGCAACTGAAATCGTCATAAATATAGTATAACTTTGATTTTGTACAATTATAGTTATTTAAAACCGAATAACAAGACATAATTCCAATAAAACAAAACATTCCGATCATTTAACTGATGCAAAAAACAATGGTTATATTAGGGTTGGTGTTTTTTATGATAGTTGATTAGATTATTCATAAAAAAATGTTTTCTTTGGTGTGAAGTATAAATAGATAAAATTGCAATAACATAAACCATTCGAGATTGTATGGTTAATACCTAAATAAATGAAATACACTGATGCACCATACATTAAAATTAATGTGTTTTTTTTGTTAGGTGAAAAGAAGGAAGACATCATAACAAGAATTTTGACTACTTCTTTTAAATCTGTATCAGTTCTTAAATTCAACCATATCCAAATATTATCATAATGTGCGAAGGATGGTGTAAAGCAGGCATAAGAATGCTACAAACAGACCAAAAAATGTCTATTTTAAGGTTGAAAATCAAATCGGATAAAAAGTCTGAGTGTATACATATATATATATCACGGCCAGTTTAACCCTAAAATTAGCGGTAGGCTTTTTAAACATATTTTTATAAACTATATATTCACCAAATTGTTTGTGGGTTCATGACTTTATTGGTTACAGGATCCATAAAATAATATGAGTCACGCAGAAAGATTAAACAAAAATGGTGTTAATATTGAAATTCATCCCATTAATTACTACCCGGGTTTCCTATGTATTTTGCACAGGAAACGAATATCATCCATTTCTTTTTGTTCAATTCTTTGAAATAAAATATTACTTAACATAGTGCAATATGTGAGCCTCACAGGTAGTAGACGGTATAAAAGAAGTCGTAATTTGAAGGTTACTTCGTATTAAAAAGTTTAATGTTAAATTTAAAGGACGCTTAGAAACTACGCCTGCTTTACTTCATCCTACAAGGTTTGTTATACCGTGAAACTTCAGGTTCTCAAACTTCTGAGCATGCGTGACACTAAAGCGTGATTCCATACCTTCGAAAATCACGGACCAAGTACTCACCGTGATTCGGATAGCTGTTGTCTACGATTGGCTGCTGCTTACTGGTCTCACCATCTTCAGTATTGGTACTATTCGTGGACGGTAGTACAACCATCGATGTAGTGGGCCGTCGACCAACGAAGGACGATTCCATCCAAATGACCTGTTGGCCATTGCTCATTCTAGGTTCTTTGTCTCTTGGGGTTAACTTGGATGTTGTTATTTTATTGTTGATGTCCGTAGTCAACTGGTTTTCAGAATTCTTAGGAACACTGCTATACACGCTCTGAAGATGTGAACATCGACCTTTACTAACGTCATTTTTATATATTACATCTTCATACCCATCGATCCCTAAAAACGACTTTTTACTGAGATCTTCGGCTACTCCAGATGATCTGTCATGTTTTCCTGCTCTCACACAATCTGGTGTGTCCCTGTTAAAGCTCCTTGACACAGAATGTTTTTCGTTACTGTCCCTTGGATATTGAGAATGAGTTGACTTTTTAGAGGAATTTAAAGCTGTGTTAGAAGTACTCTGGAATGTAGAGTGGGGTTTATCAATATGTGAAATTATAGATTCTGTATCTGCCTCATTATCAGAGTAACTTTCAAACGTACGGTAATTCTGCGGAGAAACATTTTTGCGAGGTCTGTGAACAGTCAAGTTCTCTTGTACATCAGACTGCAAGACACTTGGACAAGCAGAATTCCATCTTCTCTGCATATCGCTGGAGTAGAGATGAGAGGAAGACGAAGATTCAACTGAACTCTCTCTGCCATTATTCAAAAGACCCCTATCGTGCTTCACAGCCAGGTCACAGTCACTGTGACTTGCTGAAGCAAAGGCGGTATCAACTGAGCTTCGCCCAGGAGAATCGGGATGGCTCTCCAGCATGGGCGAAACGCTCCCACTGCTTGTTGGGATCATCATGGTTGCCCTCCATCCTAAGTAGGGCTTCTTGATAGAGTGATATCCTGTCCAAGTGCTATGTGGAGGAGCACTATTGGTCGAAAGGCGTGAACTGCTCCATCGGGACAAAGAATGATGTTCTTGAGGAGAAATTGATCCTAAAGTGGTCACAGCCAGACTTTCTTGGGACAATTTCAGTGATTCTACGTATCGCCAGTTTGGAAGAGTAACTTTTTTAGGAATTACTACATTTCTGCCTGACATGCTACTAGACGTTAAACTGGTAGAAGAAGGAGTCCTGGAACTTAATCTCTGCCATGTGGGGCGTCGCCTCTCCCCACGTTTGAGAATGAACCCTTCCTTGGCCGTCCCTTTGCACCAATCAGGAAGATTAAGTTTGCTTAGTGATCGCTCTATAATTAGTTCATGTTCAGACTTGGTTTTTGAAGAGCATAAGGTGTTTTCGGGAGGTAAGATGGCCTGACGATTCTCCTCGTCCAACAAATAATCCATACTTCGTGCACGTGAAGTGTCTAATATTGTTGAAGGTTGCCGAGCTAGGCTATTTTCCCTCAAGATTGCCATGCTTCGTGTACGAGAAAGTAAACTATCTTGCTGTGGGAGCTTGTTGATATTATCAATATCCGTTTCCAATACCTCACGGGACTCTAGAGTGTCCACGTTTGTCTCAAGATATCCTAGACTTTTGCTTCTCTCTCGTACAGATATTTCCCGATCAGCTGTTTTCACACACGAAGGCCAAACAATGTCCTCATTACAGCTTGGGTAAGGCTTTACTTGAGAAGACATTCTGCCATATTCCTCATTTTCCTGTTCTCCACTGGTACGTAGACCATTCTCATTCCTTCGGCATCTTTTTACAGCAGCCTCCACTGAAACAGCCAAGTCAGGAGTACTAACTAAAAGCTTTGTCCTTTCTGCGTGTATCCTACGCCGGAAACTCTCTAGTTTTTCTAGAGCGCCAACCTTTCCTTTATCAAAATTATTTGTGTCTGAATTTTTCACTTCATTAAAAAACTGCTTCCTGGCATTAAGTATCCGACTCTTAACTCCTCTGTGTAGTTGAGTTGACGCAAAACTCCTTTCTTGGGTACATGTGAGGTTTTTGTTATTCTCGGTTTGTTTAACAGATGCTTTTGTATAATCAAGATCTCGTTTGAGTGTGTCTTCTCTGATCTCCGATGACGTCACACTGTTAATAACTGAAAGGCTTAACTTTGATGACTGATAAGCTTTAGTTGGCGAAAGGGTATTAAAACCACTTAGCTCCGATATTTCTTTTGTATTTTTGACCTCTTCCACTTCTGAAACAGTCAGGTTAGTTTCGCGTGTTTTGGCTTTATTAATATTAGTCAAATGAGTAACACTTACATGTTCATTGTCACCACTCACGTCCGCTCTTTGATTATTTAACTCGTTGCAATTTGCGTTTGAAGCTGTATAAGTATATTTTTCTTTACGGTTATTTTTGTTGTCCAATAATTCCATGTTGTTAACGTCATGTTCTGACGTCACTCCTGGCGCGGAACATCCGACATTTTGAATGTCGTCGCTGTTAGTATAAGCTGGCTCGTCAATCAGTCTAGATAGTGAATAATCTCGACAGGTGAATATGGCTAAGGAATCTGACTCGGCTCCTGCAGGAATTTGTGAAACTTCTGTTTCGTTCATTGAAATTTCTTCTGAACTTGAGGTTTGTGACTCCTTTCTATCCAGAGCGGAAAAAATGCGATATTTATGTTGAGTTAACATTTTCGTACCTGGTCTGTGCAGAACAGTGGACTTCTGTATCTTTGCCTTATTCACTAGGCCGTTAGTTTCTACTTCTCTACGTGACGGTTTAAGTGCACACGACACCTGGCACTCGCCTGGTAGAACTTTCTTAGCCTCGAACCTAGCAGCTTTCTCTTTTACACTTTCGTTGCTATTGCACTGTCGTCTCAGACGGCTGAGTTTTTCGCCAGGAGATACAACAAATCCTTTAGATTTTGTCTGTTGTTCCAGATAACCCTGAATTCGCTCACTTACCGGCCTGGACAGTAAGGCGGAGATTGGAGCTGAACCAAAACACTGGGTAGCATTGCCAATCTGTCGGAGGTCTGGAGAACTGCGTGTCCAGCGACGTCGGACTAATATGTCTTTATCTACTGCTAGTTCCCGCCGGAGGCTAGAAGTTTCGGACCGGTAGTTGTCAAATTCTCTAGCTGGCACAGTGGTTACTGGTAAAACAACTGTAGAAATATTAGGGGTTGACCCTCCCACTTCTGTCTTTGAAATATTTGCTTCAGGTTTAGCTGTGGCGGTATAGTAGGTGGCGTAATCATACGTAAGACAAGAGTTAGCAACATTTCCCTTGGTATTACCACGTGTCGATAGAACATTTTGTTTCTTTTCTGATATTTTCGTGGTAGTACCAGTTAAGGCGTTAGATGTTACCAGCGAATATTTTTTAGAATGGATCCTGTTTTCCATTAAACCCTGGAAACCTTTGTCATTTATTGAGGTTATGATGTTATTGTCAAAACTGCTGTTGAGTTTATAATTTTCCTTCTCGAGTTGGTATGTAGAATTTAGTGGTTGTTTTGCTTCTGAAATCAAATTGAAATATTTCCCTGTCATGTTTCTAACGCCACCTGTTTCTGATTTTTTCAAATCACATCGTTGCGTTCCATTATAGACGGAGTTGCACTGATTGGTGTATTTTGGGAAACTATTATAATAGCATATATCGTCGACAGATGTCACTGCAGTCTCTCTAATGTCTTTTTGATCGGACATATACTGATAAGTTTGGCAATTCAACTTTTCATCTTTTTTTTCTAGTTGCTTGTTCGTATAATGATACTTATTTTCAGTAGGATTGTCTGTTTTGCTAGATAAAATACTGTGTTCACTTAGCTGTTTATCTTTGTTTTTCTTATCATTTAAAATAGCAGCAGAGTTATAAACAATATCCAAAAAGCTGACAGGAACAATATTTTCTCTCAAGTTTTGTCTGACAAGCCTTACAGGTTCTTCTTGTTCAGGGACTGAAGCTGAACCTTCAGGAGATTGACGTTCACCAAGCATTGTTGTAGATGTACATTCCTGTTTTTCTTCTTGTGGAAAGATATTGTTTTGGAAATTATCAGTAGATGGAGCCACCAATACATCACCAAATTTTGGTTTGGTTTCAATTATTTCACTGATCTTATCAGTAGGCAGAAATAAAAATGATTCAGAAGTTCCAATAATATTCATATTGTTTAAGATACTTTCTTTTCTGTTACTTGAAGATTCATCAAAGTCCGTTTTAGTTTGACAATTATATGCAGGAAAGGAAAGTTGTTTAGCTGTCGTTTCCTGCGAAGATAACTGGCACATCCGGGCTTTTCGTTCACTGTCTCTCTCTATAAGATTCTGTATGCGTTTCTTTCTGTTACCTACATTAGGGGTTTTAAACCCTGTGATCCTGTCAGTTTTAGTGATTAAGTCTTGGTCCCAATTCACATTAAATTCACTATTTAATGATAGGTCACTATGCTTGAAATCGTTTTTTAATGTCAAATTCATATTCGATGACTCTAGACCTTCTTCCTGGAATGCGTTTTGGGTATTCGTGATACCTGAACTAGAATCTGGTTTCTCATTATTTTCTGAAGAACTGTCTTTGTCTTTACAACGAAGCTCGGGATAACGCTCTGTCACAATAAGATCGACAACTGCTTGATCAGAAGAGACTAGGTGAACGTTTTCAGTCAAAATACACCTTTCATTTTCCTTCAAATAGGTAGATTTATTCTCATCTTCAGTAATATTTTTCTTATTTTCTTCACATTTTGTTACACTTAATGTATCCTTTAATACACTCACTTCTGGTACTAAATTAAGATGATCTGGTTTTTGTTGCATAATCTCTGTTCCGTTAATAGTTTCTAGAGTTAAACAGGTCAGAGAATGCACTTGTTCTGACAGATCGACATTATTAGGATGAAGCTCTGTTATTGGTGATGATGCGTCTTGTTCAACATTTCCTTCCTGTCCAGTCGTGCTGGTTTTATTGCACACGTAGACAGTTCTTAGCGCATGTTCTTCAGTGTCGGTCAATAAGACGCAGTTGGTGTTGTTTGATTTATCGTCATGACAACTACTTTTCTGATGTATTTCCCCTCTTAGTTCTTTCTGCACTGAACTTAAAGTCCCCTTGCTATTCTTGCAACAATTGATGGATATCAATTCATCAGAATTCACGATTTTTTGCGGCCAAAAAGTATTTGGCTCATATTTCTTGAAGTTTTGTTTTTGTTTAACTTCTGTTGCCAAATAATGTTCATTTTTATGCACTTTTTGGTGATTTTTGCTTATACAACTCGATTCGCTGCTGTCATGTGTGTTACAATTGTCTGTTTTTTCACCAGCAGAAAGTATCGCATACTTCCGGTTTTTTTTCCATCCGACGTCCTCCGTTTGAAAGCCGTCTGTATCACCTGTCTTCCGGCCAGGCGGGAAGTCCTTATGGTCGTGTTTCAGAGGAACATGTTTAGTTCCGATTTCTTTAGTGGATTTTAAAGTAGAAGCAAAACTTTGTGCATTTACTAAGTCTGAGAGGTACTGTGTTTCTTGATTTGTGGTATTTCGTTCATGATTTTTATTTCGATCTGTATCTAAAATAAAATCATTTTGTTTGCTGACCTGATCTGATGGATTTGATGCCGGATCCATGTCGCTAGTGTGCTGCTTGCCACACATCAGCTGGGCTAATGTCCCTACCCTGAGGTCGTTGTTCGTGAGCGCAGCCAGCCGTGCGCTGTATTCTTTTGAAATGTTCTGGTCGTGAAGTGTTGACCCTTTATAGGAGTAATGTTTATCATGTCTTGACGAAAAACCATTGTTTGGTGTTTTAACACGATTATCTTCCCACGTTGCAGCTACCTCAGTGTGGCCGTCCTCTGAATGGGTCGATTTCTCGGACTTTGGGCACGTTTCTATCACTGAGCAAAGTTCACCGTTCGTCCGAGGTAAAATGGGGCTATAATTTTGCACCAAAACGTTTTCATCGAAATCCTTCAAGCACAGGTTAGTTTTAAATTGAGTAGATCTAATTACGTTATTTGAGTTTTTTTCATAATCGCTCTTTTCATCTAGACGTCTTGCACTATCGACACTATCTCTATATGGTGTGAATTCGTCGTTTCTCGTGCACACATTTCCTTCATATTTTTCGTTAAACACATTTAAATTAGAAGAAGCTGGCGAGCTCCTAGCAGACTGTGTTTGATTATTTTGTGAAAGTTCGGACGATGTTTCTGTTAATTGTAATGAAATTACGTTGTTCTGACACAATGTCGTTTGATTTTTTGACATACATGGCAAACATGTATTTTTATGACGTATCGTGGAGGGATTTGGTAAAGTAGATAGGTTGTTGAAATCTGTTCTTTCCTCCCCTGCTATAGAGTAATGTTCCAGGCCCCAGCCACATGTTGTTTGTGACTGCCAATTGTTTAAAGACTCTTCCTTGCACCTGCTGTAGCTGTTTGATAACGAAAAAACATCAGGCTGCTTGGATGTGTCGATTCCATCAGGATAACAATCGGTTGTTTTCTCAGCCTCCAATGCGAACCAGTCTCTATCTTTATCTCCGCCATTAAGTAACTGATCAGTTTGAGAAGCATCCAGAGTTTGTGTAGCAGACTGAAGCACTTTCTTTGAAGACTCAATACTAGCTTCTTGTTTTTTGAACCGAGTTGCATCTTGTAGTTTATCCAGATCACCCTCACATACTTCTCTATCTCCACACGTATTAGCATTCTCTACTTCATTTCGTGACAAATTATGTGTCACACATTCGTTACCCACAATACTTAATTTCTCTTCATAATCAGACACATTCACTTGAGAACTGGCTGCGTCATTTATCATCAATTCACCAAGATCGTGAATCCCAATGCTATGCTCAAAATTCTCTCCAGATCTACGTGTATCATTGACTTCAAACTCAGGTTCAAGCACAGTCACTGATTCTGTCTCTAAAACAGAACTTGTAGAGATCTCTTGTTTCCGTCGTCCAGCTAGAGGCACCTCCACCACAGTAACACAGTCGTCACCAGACCCCGTACTCTGACTCTCCCACGATCCCCATTCCAAGGAGCCCCCATCACTTAGACTGTGTAGGTCATCCAAGCTCTCCTCCTCTATAGTATCCAGACATCTTGAGATTCCACAGTCAAAGTCCGGCAGGCACGGCACATCCGCAGTATTATTGTTCTTAGCATATAATAGAATAAGCTGGCGTTCTTCGGGTGTTAGGTCTTCTTCAGCATGTTTCCCTAATTCGACAGCTGAATGAATAAACTCGTCATCACAATCTTCGTGATGATGCCAGGAAAATAACTTATCGTCGTCTTTTGGCTCATAGTAATAAGAATCGGACTGTCCATGTGCAGTCATGACGCGCAAAGAAACATCGCGCCACAGTGTAGTTCTACGAAGCTCATATAAAACGAACCTAACAACGCACCAGGTAAAATACGACAAGAACAATGACAGCAGTACCACTATACTTATTTGTTCTACGGGGAAGTCGCTCACGGCTTCCCACATGACGGCAACCAATCACGGAAGAATTTCGATGACGTCACCTTAACGAAAATCGTTTCTGTCTCTTTTACGCGATCTAGCTCCAGGTAGATCTGGTGACTTTACGTCTCCCTCACAAGACACATTCTTGAACTATTTTCTCCACATGTTCATTGCGGGAAACGTGAGATATACTTTCTTTCAGTAAAGTTGAACCTTTTCCTGTTAATTGAACATACGTCACTAGAAAAAATAGCCATAAAATAAAGTTGTTAAAGTCTAACACTAATCATTATTACCGACAGGACGTTGTTAGACTTAAAGTTATAAAATAGCTATATAGGCTTTTACTTTTCCACGTTACATAGTACTACACTGGCAGAGTTAAAAATTAGTTATTAATCAGAATAAGTTAAACAATAGACATAGTACTACTTTTCAACGTTATATAGTTCTACACTGGCAGAGTTAAACATTAGTTATTAACCAGAATAAGTTAAACAATAGAAGTATTACTTTTCCACGCTACATAGCGCCACACTGATATAGTTAAACATTAGTTATTAATTAGAATAAGTTAAACAATAGAAGTATTACTTTTAAACGTTACATAGTACAACACTGATATAGTTAAACATTAGTTATTAATTAGAATAAGTTAAACAATAAACGTATTAATTTTCAACGTTACATAGTACTACACTGATATAGTTAAACATTAGTTATTAATCAGAATAAGTTAAACAATAAAAGTATTACTTTTAAACGTTACATAGCATCACACTGGAGTAGTTAAATATTAATTATTAACCAGTGCAAATTAAACAACAGCAGTAGAAATCTTACGTTTTAACCTTGCCTACTGGTTGATATAAGTATTAGCTGTTACTAAAGTACAAATTCAACAAAAGCAGTCGCATTTTTACCTGGCACAGGTCGATTTACGTAATAAGCATAAATGTGCATATTGGGCTATCTGTGCTGTGCCCTTCACACAAATCGAGCCTTGAATTTTAGCGTTATAATCTCTCAAGCTTACTGTTGAGCCATCGGCGAGGGGAGCTGATAAGGCAAGACTACTACTATAAAATATTATAAATCTGTCCCCCCCCTCCCCCGTTAATTTTTATGCAATATCAGGCAATAAATGGTCCTTCATGTGATCTGGAATGTAAATTATTAGCCAACAAGCTTACCCTTTAATTAAATAAATATTTGGAAGAGTTGAATTTACGTTTTAATAACGCATGTCCAATAGCCATTAACGATAAGGTCAATATGATCATACCATCCGTCTGAAAGAACTGTTTGGAAAACTATCTTTAATGTCTGGAAGTCTCTTTTTATAGGATGTGACTTGCGACCAATCACATTGCATGCGTGCTAAATGGATCGAAAGCCCGTTACTTCTAACCATCTCCTCTTTTTCAAAGAAATGCTGGCCAGTTTAACACTGTGGAGGCTAGCGTAATCGTTTATTAGGCTAAAGGTAAGTTAGTTTTTATTAACTCATGACAACACAATGAGTCATATGATGTAGCATTAAAAGTACCATTCCGCAAGTAGAGATTGGTGCGTCTACGAATTCTTATTGCTGCCCAAAACCATAGTTTCATCAACTCCATACGTGCTACATTCATGTATGAAAATTGGACTGGTTCTTATTCCAGATTATGTTCGTATGATTATAAGTCCCAATATCTGGCTGTAGAGTAGATCATGAATTGTCTGTAACAAGAATATTGTTTCACATGTCATTGGTCCACTGGATGTGTTTTGACACCATTGTAGATGAACTGTTTTAAGTTTTTCTGTAAGTGGGATGGATCTGATTGGGCATCTGACGCACAAACTGGCCTAGTGAAATATGCTTCTAACTACCTTTACACTTCCAAAGTTGACTAGCTGCCTTCCTTCTAGTCTATCGCTTCTAAATTATGGATGGCCAGCGTAGGTAGCCCTCGAGTAGCTGTACGCGAAATTCAATCAACCAAACAAACGAACACAAACTCTCGAAATAGCCAGAAGGCTGGAGGTAGTTGTAATAAGACAGCTGAATTCCTTGTGTAAACAAGCAGATATTGCTTTATTTGTAATTTTCGTAATCGTTACATCGGTGTCGTACATGTTGGTAAGTTTTCAGTATTAAAATCCAGTTTGAATAGGTAAGGCTGCTTTATTCACAGTTTAAATGGATATTACATATTTAAGTGTCATTGTTCATATATAAAATAAGAGTTGTTGTATTTCTTTTTATAAATAATCAAATGTCGCTACATTTACAGAGTAAATAAGAAGTATTTAACGTATTTTAAATTGACAGATGTCGCTACATTTACAGATTAGTAAACTTCTTAAACGTTTTTTAAATGGATAGGTGTCGCTATATTTTTCTGATTGATGATAATTGTTAAGCATCTTTTCTGTTGGTAGGCGTCGCTATATTTACTGATTAATAACAATTATTAAACATTTTTATAACAGATAAGTGTCGCACATTTACAGGTTAAATAAGATTTGTTATCATTGTGAAACAGGTAAGAGTGACGATACATTCATAGATTAAATATGAAGACGTTGATATATATACTGTAGTTCGTTCGTAGTTAAGCGCAAAGTGCTATCTGTGCTAAAGTGCTATCACGGGTATCAAAACCAAGTTTATAAGGTTGTAAGTTTGCAGACATACTGCTTTGCCACTAGATTTTCGTTAAAAAAAGTCTATTTTGTTTAAAACTGGAATCCTAATATTTCGCTATATGAAGAAATACGAAATGCCAGTTTTTATTCCCCGGCCAAAGGTCGGATACTTTTCTCACAGGCCTCGTATATTGTTACGTCTCCGTTCGTTAGTTAATTTTCCGTAACTTCGTTCCGACGAAACTTTAGCGACACAAGTCCTTTCTTAAATAAAACTAGTTTATTCTTTCTGAATATAACTTTACGATACACTTAATTTCAACAGTCGCTCTATAACAACGCTACGTCTCACGTGGCCAGCAATATTTTGTCCGCATACTCGTACATTCAATTACTCGTTACCTCTCGTTCCCCCTCACGCTGTCAACGTCTTATATATACAAGACTAACACATATCCAGTAGTCTCCCGATAATTCACGAAGTTTCGAGAGAAGGAGTGGCGTGACACTAGTCACGTGATCTCGCTGACGCAACAGTATTATTCTATATTGTTTGTTTTGTTTTTTTAATTTCGCGCAAAGCTACACGAGGGCTATCTGCCACGAGGCCATCCCTAATTTAGCAGTGTAAGACTAGAGGGAAGGCAGCTAGTCATCACCACCCACCGCCAACTCTTGGGCTACTCTTTTACCAACGAATAGTGGGATTGACCGTCACATTATAACGCCCCCACGGCTGAAGGGGCGAGCATGTTTGGTGGGACGGGGATTCGAACCTGCGACCCTCAGATTGCGAGTCAAGCGCCTTATCCACCTGGCCATGTTATTAATCTATATTCTTTGTCCGCATTATTCAGGGATATTGCTATATTTATGTATATCTAAGTATACCCAAACAACTTTTATTATCTATACTATAGAAATAAGACGATTGCGAAATGGCAATGTATTTTTATCTGTAAAATATGGCAGTAAATTTACTAATATATTTTTTCACTGTATTTTATGAGCGTAGATGTAATACCTGATGGAAAAATTTAAAGTTGTAACACCTGATGGAAAAGTTAAAAGCTGTAATACCTGATGGAAAGGTTAAAATTTGTAATATCCGATGGAAAGGTTAAAAGTTGTAACACCTGATGGAAAAGTTAAAAGCTGTAATACCTGACGGTAAAATTAAAATTTGTAATACCTGATGGAAAGGTTAAAAGTTGTAACACCTGATGGTAAAGTTAAAAGCTGTAATACCTGATGGTAAAATTAAAATTTGTAATACCTGATGGAAAGGTTAAAAGTTGTAACACCTGATGGTAAAATTAAAATTTGTAATACCTGATGGAAAGGTTAAAATCTGTAATACCTGATAAAAAAATTAATAGTTGTAACACCTGATGGAAAAGTTAAAAGTTGTAACACCTGATGGAAAGTTTAAAATTTTGCCAAGCAAACCTACAATACCACTTACTTTCATACTTGTTTTCCTTCCCTTAAATATCACCAGCTATACCCGTAAAAAGACGAGGATAACGTGTTGGTCTCTTGTTTGTCTATAACGGTTAACTTTGCTAATCAAAGATCTATATATATCAACTCGAAGCTCTGCTACGCCAGTCTAAGTTTAATAAAGCGTACCTTTATACCGTTGTTATCAAAAATCAACAACATTAGAACAAACAAGAGAATGAGTATCCACACAATCCTATGCCAAATGGGCTTTATAATTCAATAAAAAAAACACACGAACTATCGTCACAGATCACGTGATGACGAATATCACTCAACCTGTTTCCAAGCAGATAAAACTATGATAGCTGTCTACTCTACTCATACACAATTATTTTCTCTATTTTGAGCCTCAGTTACATAGCGATATTCTTGTGAACACTTTATGGAATAATACTTAACTAATGTATTCTGAAATACGTTGTGATTAAAACAGCCTACACACACACACACATATATATATATATTGTAGTTTACTCGATTAATTTTGTCTGAATTATATGTACAAGCTGATCTAGTGGGATCATTTTCTACTCAGGATCCATTTTTAAATCACGTGCGCGGATACTTCATAAAACAAAAGCGGAATACGGAGATGACTAACATTGTTAAAGTTACTATACATATACACGCAAGAAGAATGCAATTTCTTTCAATATTGTACCTTTAAATTACAGAGTTTTTCTTTTCTTTTTAATTACGAACGTTAACTGTTCCAAGTGACGTCAAGGTGTAAATATTTTTCAACATTAGTCCAAGAAATAATGGAAAGATCAGTACTACTCACAATTCTAAAAAAGCAAGGCACGAGCGATGAAACTGTCTTATATTTTCTATAAGATTTCGTGTAATAAAAGTTTACAATTTATCAGTGGTTCTTTGAAACTGGGATAAAAATTTCTCGAAGTTGTATTTCTACGGACTTACAACGCTAGAAACCGGGTTTCGATACCCGTGGTGGGCAGAGCACAGATAGCCCTTTGTGTAGCTTTGTGCTTAACTTCAAACAAACAAATCGAAGTTGTACGCAAAGATATTATTTAAATATATTAGATTGT